GAATGCCGCATTGTGGGTGCTCCGGGGCCCTGTCGACTAATCATTTGTCTGCGACTTTTGTAACATGGGTGTGATGACGCAGCGTAAATAACACGGCCCAAATCGCCACTGGCCACTCCGTCAATATATGTGAGCCAGAAGACCCTCAGTACCGCTTCTTGACGTCAAAGAATGAGGCCACTGCTCCTGTTGTTTCCCACCGATCATACGTCGGTCGAAGCCGGCCGGCACAGCCCGCTCCTTCGCTGTGCCCAGAGCGGTCTGGCAGGTGGCGGGATTTGAGTTCCGCGGCGCCAGACTGGAGAATGAGTTCGAGCGCACCAGGGCGCTCAAAAACTTCCTGACGTGGCCAGTGGTGCTGCTGCTCCAGTGGGCCATCACCGCCGCGCTGTTGTGTAAACACGAGGACAGATGGCTGTGGATCCGAGCTGTGCCGTCATGTGGCGTGGAGATCTTTTACGTATGTACGTAAATCGGTATACCAATGCAAGTTCTGCGGACACCTATGAGCTGGAGGTTGTGCGGGGACTGGGCGGACTCTATTTGGATGCCCACTGCTTGCGTATTCGGTGTCGTTGTTTTTGTTGTTGTTGCAAGAATGACAGGTGAAGAGCTCCGTGCGGGGCCTGGAACGAGCGGGGATTCGCTCTTTTGGTTGTTTGGGCTGGGTATTTTTTGCCCATTGCCGTTTCGCCCCTTCCGGTCATGCTAATACTGCCGCTTGTGGTTGCCAAGGTGGCCGCGCTTTTCCCCTACAACGATATGGCGAAGCTTTGCCATCCCGACAACAATGTGTATCACCCAGTGGGAAGGGGATGCTCAGTCGGTAGTTTGGTATAGGTTGTCCTGGCTCCTGCAAAGCAAACATGTGGTCCCAGAGCAGAGCGAACCCAGCCAGAGGGGCGGCAGGCAAGGTGGGACAATGCGCAAATGTTCTTTTATTGGGCAGCTGTATCGATCACTTTCTCTTTTCTTTGGTCAGCAGAAGTTTGCTAACGACATGCATTTATGGAGCAAAGGAAGCGCTTAGAGGAGGTATGCCACATACCATATGCGCGAGGCAGTGGGATGTGCTTCTGTCCTGGAAAGCTCCAGTTGTGCTGGCACTTTTCGTCCCCACTGTCTTGGGGCGCCATTCTAAACATCCCTTCACATTCATTCTCTGCAAATTCTGCTGCTACCTACCAACATTTGAACTTGACATTCGATTAGTTTTTTATCTGTCATTTACCTTTTGCAAGCAAGTACCATCACCATAGTTACCAATTGCGTGCCTCCTAGATCCCCAGCAGTACTACAGTGGCCTACTCAAGGACTGCTCGCCCATTGCCAATGCCAGCCCCAGGTGGAACAATCAGCGGAATGCCCGCAACACTGTGGTCAGAGTACAGTGCAAGAATCTTCCATGACATTCATCTGCTGGCAGAGAACTCCGCCCCATATTATGAGTCTCCTGAGGCGTCCGACTTGTCAATGGACGTTCTGTTGTCCCAACCCATGTGCATCCTAAGAAGAAACTGTTGGCATTGCTCAATTTCGGACTGATAACGCTGGAAAATGTTATCTCGATATCATCGGTATTGATGTTCAAGACACATCGCCGGGGGGGTGGGCTCAATATAGGGACCCCTGTACTGGGCGACTGAACTGGCTCCGTCAAATATGCATGCTATCTCATAAGAATGGCCAAACTAGCGCCCACTGAGGCGTTGACTGGCATCAAGAATGTTGGTCTTGATGCCCACCGAGTTGCCACAGGTGAGGCGTTTGGCTTGAGAACAAGCAATTAGCTGGTATGAGCTCCCAGTCAGAATGGGCGCATAGTTCAATAGGGCACCTGGTGAACATGGGCATCCGGTCGATATGGGCATCCAATCCGCACATTTTCACCTGTCGAAATTGCTACGTCTGACTTCACCACGCCGCGGCACAGCACCTGCGAGTCATCAAGACGGAGTCCACAGCTGCTTGGCTGGAACTCGACCTTTTTGTCTACCTGGTTGGAGAAGATAGTTTCTACTCTCCTCCCCTGGCGCTTCAAGGCAGCCAATGCTGGGATGCGGGTCGCCGCTCTTCAGTGGCCAGTGACCAGCCGCGGGCAGCCACGAGCTCACCGGCTCGCCCAAGGGAACGACACCGAAACGGCACCGCCAGCGGCGCATCGCTCGGGCGCCAGTTGTTGTCGAGAGTCGAGGCAACGAGGCCACGCCCCCACCCGCCACTCGCTTTAGGTGCGGTCGGCAGTGTCAAGAGTGGACGGACAGCCACTTGAAAGAGCAATTTTCAGTGCGGACAATTTTCAGTGTTCTTGGACGGGCTTCTTCCGAGGATCATTGTGGAGTGGAATCGCGCCTGTGGCCGTCGAGGTGTGGGGATTTGGCCGGATGCCCAAGTGGCTGCTATGCAGCTTCACCACCTTCGGAGCATCGCACCCTCGTCGTTGTCCCCTGAGAGGCCCACCGGGCACGCAAAATGTGGCACCGAGATGCGGCCTGTAGCCAGCGTGGGACTGGTCTGTGGCATGCAGCCTCTGTACCGTGATTGACGAGGCTCGGGGCAGTCAAGGCGAAACCTGGCCAATCCAGAAGTGCACGCCTGCTGGCTGCAAGTTAGGGGGGAGTTCGTCGCTGTGTTCGGGTGTGCGCGTGCTGCGCACAGGAGTTGCGAGGGACGTTTTGCGAATGCGTCGTTCACGATGTTTGGATGGTGCTTGAATATTGTTTGAAGATTTGTTGCTGAGAAAATGCCTTGGACAGTGCGTTGACTCCGTCAATTGTGGCGAGATCGCTTTTGATGACACGTGTGAATCAGCTTGGAGAGGTCAGCAATACCCTTGCACCTGGCAGATGGTGTTGGGTGTGCATGAATCCACCGTGTGTGTAACCGAAATGCCTCACAGCTCGTATCCATACAGGGCACAAATGTTTGTCCTCAACTTGACGAAGATTGTATGTTGCTCTTATAGGCACACTCCAAGAGGCTAAGTTCGGGGACTCGAAACCATGCATGAAGATGGGGATCAAACGGAGATTTTCGCAAGATGCCCAGGGCGACTGTGCGATCGGGGGATGGCAGTTGGGCTTGAGGATGGCACCCCCCAGCCAGCACTATTCTCCAGGAATGCTTCTGGCAGCAGGGAAACTCTTGGGTGGTGGCTGGCAGTGGCGATGGCCCTGCTGAACATGGTGTCAGCAGAAGCCAACACAGAGCCACAGTGCGAGTCCAACGGCCAATCCATGTGGCCCATCGCTGCTCATGCTGGGCCATTCTGCATCGTCTTGCTCTGCACATTGCATATGAGCCACAATACCCAGCATGTATGCGATCTCAGCAGAATGCATAGAAGGGTTGTGTGTTTCTTTTGGCTGTCTGTCCTGGTTGCACTGGCTGTGTCCTCTTGGTACATCGCAACAGGCAAGCTTGACATGTTCCATCTACTGCTGGAAAGTGGTGCAGGAGCAGCATCAGTGGCACTCATCTTTGAGCTTTTCAATCAATGGGCGCCAGACACCCGACGAGGGCACATCATTGCTACCTGGCTGCGAAACGGGGTGAAAAGGTCCTGGCCTCACGATGAGCAAGCCCTGGCCAGGATCCACAACTCTCTTTACAAAATCCGAGAATTGACTGTCGGTTATGATGAGGAAACACTTGCTAAGGCTGCACTGAACATTGCACCTCTAAGGTGGCAGAGAGACATTCTTGGTGATACGTTGTGGTTTGAGATGCGGGAGCCTGGCTTGGATCGCAATAATTGGCGTGGAGTAGATGGCATCGATCGCAATAATTGGCGTGGAGTAGATGGCATCGAAGGTACACTCCTGTATAACGATGTTGGGCACTGCATACAGGCAATGCACAGACACCTGCCGGAAGAGTGGTTGTTTGGACAAGATCGTATTTTCCCTCGACTGTGGATGCTGGAATCGCGAAAACAGGACATAGAGACAACTGTGGAGGCAGCCATGGTTGTTCAGCCACAGATTGTGCAGCGTTTTGGGTGTGGCAGGATATGGCTACTGCTATGCCTGCTGATGCCATACATACGCCATGTGCTGTGCGCCACAGACGATTCTGTCCCGGAAAATGACCACGATGTCCATCAGTGCGTGCCATCCCTAGATGAGAGTATAAGTCCAGTTGGCCGAGTAGTCTTCTTCTTGAACATTGTGATACTCCTCTTGATGGCAACTCACGCTGGTGCTGCGCATTATGTGCTGGGATTTTTTGTGGCTTTGGGCCACTTGTCCTTATCCCTGTTGCATGGCATCCCATCGCTGGTTCTGGCAGTGGTGCTTTTCACCATAACCTGTGGGCGGATAGCGCCCCCTTCACGGGACGCATCGATCGAATGGTCTGGGATCACCATAAACAGGGGGGCAGACGACGGCATAGATCGACATGACGAAGTGCTAATTTCCCTGGCAATGCTGCACAGAAAGGGCAACCTCACTCTGCACATCTGGGATGTTCACAGAGTAAAGGGACGCATTGTGTCCAGGTTTGGGAAGCCGTTCATGGATCAAGTTCGGGGTGCCTTCGAGAGGGCTGAGCGAAAGGTGTCTGGTGAGAGAGGGGCGGCTGCTGGCTCGAGGCGTGAGGACATGGATTCCATAGCAGTGGCTGAGCGAAAGGTGTTTGGTGAGAGAGGGGCGGCTGCTGGCTCGGGGCGTGAGGACATGGATTCCATAGCAGTGGCTGAGCGAAAGGTGTCTGGTGAGAGAGGGGCGGCTGCTGGCTCGGGGCGTGAGGACATGGATTCCATAGCAGTGGCTGAGCTTGAGGATCTGCGAAATCGAGATGATTTTGATGAAGCTGCATATGAGTCGTTGCTGTCAGAAGTCAGTAAGTTGGTTGAGAAAGGGACGCCAATGCCATCACCATGTGGGCAGGATGCGGAGGGCCATAGGGAGGGGCAATCTGGAGATGGCGGGGCAGTATCTGGCGAAGGCAGAAGCCCAGGAAAGAGACCCTGGGCGGCTGCTGGCTCGGGGCGTGAGGACATGGATTCCATAGCAGTGGCTGAGCGAAAGGTGTCTGGTGAGAGAGGGGCGGCTGCTGGCTCGGGGCGTGAGGACATGGATTCCATAGCAGTGGCTGAGCGAAAGGTGTCTGGTGAGAGAGGGGCGGCTGCTGGCTCGGGGCGTGAGGACATGGATTCCATAGCAGTGGCTGAGCGAAAGGTGTCTGGTGAGAGAGGGGCGGCTGCTGGCTCGGGGCGTGAGGACATGGATTCCATAGCAGTGGCTGAGCTTGAGGATCTGCGAAATCGAGATGATTTTGATGAAGCTGCATATGAGTCGTTGCCGTCAGAAGTCAGTAAGTTGGTTGAGAAAGGGACGCCAATGCCATCACCATGTGGGCAGGATGCGGAGGGCCATAGGGAGGGGCAATCTGGAGATGGCGGGGCAGTATCTGGCGAAGGCAGAAGCCCGGGAAAGAGACCCTGATTGCCATTGTCTACATGTTGGCTTTGTCAGATCCGCTGTTTCGACTGTATTTCCCTTCCTTCAGTTAGCGACTTGCTGGTTTTGCTTGGCTTGCTTATTAGGTTTCAAGATGAGCTGCATATAGGGCAGTAGCGATAACGTGTTGTGGGACTGTGCCCAACTGCCTTTGTATTCGATTACGATTTCTAATGGAGCGGAATAGTACCAAATGCTAGAATCGGATGTAAGCAACCATGAACGCCTGTTTGCTACCCCTACGCGTGCCTTGGCGCTGACCCCAGGAAAATTCCTATATCCATGGATATATAAGGAGAACACATGCTCCTCCACCTACCTGAATATGTGGGATTGAGCGACTCTTTCCCACAGCATGGAAAGGTAGGTGGTGATGCTACAGTACAGTGTCGTTCATCACGGAGGGGTCGTTGAGCACAGTATAGTATCGTTGAGCAGGGAGGGAATGTTGTTGCACAGCCATCCCATAAAAGATAGTGTGCACAATCAGCCAAGCACACAGACAAGTACTCGGCTATTCCCCTCAACATACCAACACATCAAACAGAATGCGTTCTATTACATTGTCTCCCATTGCAACTCATTATTCTGGACCTGGCCTCGACCAGGTCAAGGACACTTGCCTGAAACCATGGGCCTTGCTCCGAGGATGGCTGCACCATTTTCTCTTGCAGTACTTCTGTGTGAATTTGAGCAATGGCATCGACAATCGCCTCCAAATGCCACCACCACCAATTGTCCTGCTAGCCACCCGGTGCCCGTTGCTGCATGTCAGCAGCATGCCTGGGCAACCTAGCAGATGCAATGCCCTGTTGAATGCTCCTCGCTCGCGGACTTGACAATGCAATTTCCCCTGCTATGTGCACTTCCTCGATCCGCCTGCTGCCCATCGCCTGGAGTACCCAATGTTGCCTGCTGATCCGACCCAATAACACTTCAACAATCCACTGATTCGCCGCTTGCCTATAGAATCCCCCAGGATAACAGCGGCCAAATGGGACAAATGGCGGAGCTTTGGTCAATGTATTATAATGGTGGTGGGCCCCCTGGTCCAGACAAGGTCGAGTGCACCGGCGCACTGAGACAAATGGTCTATGGGGTGCCGACTTTTATAGGTGGCGCGCTCCCCCTCTCGTCATGACACCCTCGGCCCTCTGTAATGTCCAATACACTCCTGTAATGCCAACCTCGGCCTCCTGTAATGCCACCTCAGCCCTTGGAGAGCCACTCACATGGTCCCTTGGCCCCTTGGCATGCCTCTAGTAATGCCAGGCGGCTTCCCCAAGCTATACCATATCCCTCCAAGGTACCATGGCCGTAGGGGCGCTTTTACCTGTGATCCGATGTAATCCGGGTACTTGATAGGTGCCCGTATTGCTGGATCAACCCCACAATCCCTTGGAGTGTACTCCACCACTTCCTGGCGGCTCCCATCCGCCCATGACCGCGCACCACATCATAATAGACTATAATGTTCATAATCACACCGGTTCCATCAAGGAATAATGCCCCAAATGGTCAGAAGGTTACTATTTTTTTTGCGACAATGGATTGTTCTTTTCTTCGACAGTGGCGATAATTGATGCGTGAGATGTTGGCATCAGATTTGCCACACCACCCCTGTACGGTCCACCGAGCCTCCTCTCACAATGGCGCTGAAGGCGCGTCTGTTTGGAGAAAGGACAAAAAGGCGAAGCCAGAACGTTTGGGGACGCCCAGGGTCCCCACTGTGGTAATTTCGTGCACTTTGTTTGGCGAACTGCTCGTGGGATTGTGTCTTGCAAGGTCCCGTAGGGGGCAAGCTCGGCCGAGCGACGATAATGGGATTAATGAGTTTAATGGATGTTAACGAAATTGTGTGCTGCGGGATGTAAGAGCGTGCGCGGCCACGCCGATTGTAGTTCGATCGTTCTGGAAGACACCGCCTCCCTGCCTCCTCGAGCGCAAACGCCGCACGCCTCGGACGGGACCGCACGGAGTGGCCGTCACCCACGGGCCAGAGAGAGCCCGGGGCATGCTGTCCGGCCAAGGACAACCACGCTTCCACAGGAGAGGCCCTAGAGCGCGGGCCAGGGTACCTGGACGCGGCCAAGGGGGAACCGTGCCAACACCCACCTTGCGGAAGGGGGCTGCTGCTACCACTCGGCGATCACCTTGGCACTGAGATTCAGCCGAATCGGCTGAGGTTGCAGCCCCCCGTTTCCTCCCCAGATCTGTTTTTGCCGTGCTAGCCCCCTAAAATGTGGCCACTTGGCCACGCAAGGAGACGGCGCCGCAAACTGGGACCGGGGAGTGTTGCTCGTGATGCCAGATGGGGAGGCCAAAGCGCTGGTTGCCAGCGCCATTGCCGTCCAAACATCGACCATCAAGGCGCCCACGCCCAGCGCCGTTGACTAGTCACACGACCAGGTTTTACTGCCGGGTGGGGGCACGCCCTGTGGTGGGCTGCCACTGGAGCCATTTCAGCGATTGGCGCAACCCTAGTGCTCATTTGGCGCCGCCTGGCCCTGTGCATCACCCAGACCCCAAACAAGCACAGCGTTTACTCATAAAGTTCGAGGGAGCGGAAAACGGTCCCTCGGGCGGTGAACAACAGCGACGGCAGCTGCTAGCGGCCGGTGGCAAGTGACGGTGGAGGGGACGGGGGGCGGGTAGGCGAGCTGGTTCGAAGGCCCGCCGCCTTCCCAAGTTGTGCATTAGTCATATTAACTGTTGCAGAAAAGAACAATCCGCTGTTGCAAAAAAGAGTAGTTTGGCACTGTCGCAAAAAAGAATAGTCCACTGTCGCAAAAAGAAATATTCACCTGGCCAGAAATGGGCAAAATGACCTAAATTGCCTTAATGACTTCATTATACCGAAAACTGGCCCATTTAACAAGATGAATGTGGCGATCATGATTAACACATTTCAGACTCAGATGAACGCATTTAACTTATCTAAGTCATCTAATTACCCGTTACAGTATAGTACAGTGTCCAATCACTACAATCTCCCCCCCTTAAACTAAGCATTGTCCCCAATGCGGCCGTAGTACTCCTGGATCTTCTCTTGCGCATTTTGGAGGTTCTCTTCAGGCTCCCAAATCGCTTCATGGGCAGGGTAGCCTTCCCAAAAGACGAGGTACTCCTTGACGGTTGGAAGTCCGTGCTTCCGCAGTCGATAGTTGACGATTTCCTCAACGAAATACTCCTCGTGGCCGTCCGTAGAGATGATTGCTTCGGGAGGTTGGGAACGTCTTCTGGCATCCCTTGGCGCTCGGTATAACTTCAGTTAAGCAACATGGAAGATAGGATGCACTTGGATGTGCGCCGGCAGCTCTAGCTTGTAGACTATCGTGTAGCACTCCGTCACCTTGAACGGTCCAATGTACAATGGTCCAAACTTGTGGCTTGGTCCAGCTCCAGCAATGCTGAGGTACTTGGTAGAGAGAAGAACTTTATCACCAGCACGCAACTGCAAAGGTCTTCGCTTCTTGTTTGCATAGCACTTCTGTCACTCTTGAGCCTTCGTCAAGTTGTCACATGTGTGCAGTAGATCCTTGGACAAAGTCTCCATCCAATCCTCAGCTGTGACGTTCTTTGTCTCTACTCTAGCCAACAAGTTTGCAGGGTTCACTGGATGACACACGTAGCAAAGATAGAAAGGCATAAATCCAGTTGAAGAATGCACAGCGTTGTTGTAGACAAACTCCACCATCCTCAGCCATTGATCCCAGTCGTTGTGTCGTTGTCCCATGAACGCTCTCATGATCTCCTCAATTGTATGGTTGGCCCTCTCTGTTTGGCCATCAGTTTGAGGATGAAATCCCAACGACATCGTCAAAGTTGTTCCCATATTCTTGAACACTTCTTTCCAAAAATGGCTCGTGAACTTGCTATCACGATCCGACACAGTAGTTCCCTGCAATCCATGGACTCGCACAATGGAATCCACAAAAATCTTAGCCACATCCACAGCAGTGGCTGTCCCTTCTGTTGGTCTCAGCACCACCATCTTGGTGCCATAATCCACCATGACCAACAAAGCATCATAACCTGATCGGGTCTTTGGCAAATGAGCGATCAAATCCATGCTAACCTTTTCCCAACGATTGTGAGGTATTTCCAAAGGTTGCCACAACCCAGCGCTTCTCTGATTTGAGGGTTTGTTGCACTGACATGCATCACAGCTCTTCACAAACTCTGTCACATCACTCTCCAAAGAAGGCCAATAGAAATCCCGCATCACCAGGTCAGATGCTCGCTTAATGCCCAAGTGACCCGAACAATGTGCACCATGCAATTCAGTCATCACTGCACTTTTCAAGGTCCCATTGGCACGTACAATCGCAATCGCCCATCATTAACCCTATAGATGCGCTGATTCAGCACCTTGAAATTTGGGTGGCAATCTGGATGTTCGAAAATTGCTTTGCTCTCTTCATCGCGAGCATACTCTTCCTCCAACTTCCGCAGCAATTTCGAATCCAATTCTACTTCAGAAATCGATGAGCATTCAATCATGTATAGCCTGTACAAGGCGTCGGCAACCACGTTCGACTTTCCTAGCTTATGAATCACCTCATAGTTGAACTCGGCCAAAAAGTCCAGCCATCTCGCTTGTCGCTTCGGCAGGTTCGGTTGCGTTGTGAGGTACTTCAAGGAGTGGTGGTCCGTGATGACCTTGAACTTCTTGCCTTCTAGGTAGTGTCTCCAAGTCCTCAACGCATGAATCACCACCAAGAGTTCCCGCTCATGAGTAAGGTAGTTCGCCTCTGCTGAATTCATCTTCTGGCTCTCGAATGCCACAGGTTGATCACCGGAGTCATAAACTTGACTTAACACAGCTTCCACAGCCGTGTCACTCCCATCGCAGGTCACAACGTAATTTCGGTCAGGACCAGCAGTCTTCAATACAGGTGCCTCGGACAGCTTGGTCTTCATTTCCTTGAAGGCTGCATCCTTGCTTGAAGTCCATTTGTAGGGAGTCTTCTTCCTTGTCAAAT